CTATGGCAGACGACTTCGGACTCGGTGCGTTCTACATAGTCTCCCTGAACAGAAGACTAAGTTGCGACAACGAGGTCAACCCACTTCTGAAATCTATGTAGTTTAATAATTAACTCAACTAGTTACGGATTGAGGTAGCTTAATTGGAAAGAGGCAGTTAGAGAAACAACCAGAAGTAAGCATCATTAACGCTTATACATTGTTGAGTAAAACTTTATGATATCCATTAGATGCTGATTTAGGAAAAAGGAAGGTGCATTTGAAACCATTAGTGGGATAATCTAGAATAGGATTATCCACTGTTTTACTTTAGCTGAATGGGCAATTTTCATTAAAGTGTCTTAAAGAATATGTGAAGGAAAGTTGTGTTTCGATGAGTCCCTTAATAATTGGATGACTCGACCTTGGTAAAAATTGGTTGAAAAGGATTCGTGAATTGACCTCACTGGGCAAAGTAAGAGGACTGAATTGGAGTTGAGGCTGTGTGAAAAAGCCCCCGGTTTATCTCATTAAGACCCCGATAAATCCGTTATTAGCCTTTGTTTTTCGTTTTATGCCTCTTCAAAGTGAGCTTCATAGACTAAGATAAAGACAGACCATGCTAAGCCAAACCTACTCACTTATTTATGCTTAATTTTGCGATCGTAAGGTGGCATCCCACACTTTGTTTGGCTACAGCATGCTTGTTAATTCACTTTCATTTCGAGAGAAAATGTGTGATGAGATTCGAAGGTCGATTCCACTAGAAGACGACTGCGCATTTCTCTTGACCATCTGTCGGTTGGCTTTACTGGAACATTCTTGTCGACGTTGTCCCCGAGGTAACCTCCTCGATTCCGACAAGAACGTGCCAACCTTGCATGTGACTTATCACGGATATCATCAGAGCAGGCCAGTGGATCAAGAAACCCTCTAGGGTAATGCCAGCAAGAATGTTCCAATAGAGCCAATCGACAGCTGGCCAAGAGGAATTCGGCTTCGGCTTCTGGTTGGATCGACACTTTAATCTCTTCCTCACACTCTTCCACTTTAAATGGGAGTGAGCCCAACTAAGTTAAGCAAAGGGACTCATCGAAATCCAATTTTTACTCGCATATATACCATGTTTACCGTACATAGTTGTTTATGAGTTAGGCTGATAAATGAAAAGGGAGTGGATGTGGTCACAGCTCTTTCCCTCTATAGCTAAACCAGTGCGTAATATTACAATGCTGACAAGTTTCAGATTTATGGATGCATGCGAACTGTGTTTATAAAATGCTTACAACCATGCTGATACATTAGAGCCGAAAATAGGCTCCAGATTAGCCCAACCTCCTCTTACTCGGTGATTCATGCTGTTCTCTCTTCATCTTCCAAATTATATCTAATAGGCAGAGGTATTTCCAAGTCGATTTTTTATTCTCGTTTCTTTTGTTCACGATATTGTTTGTCTTATTATTTTTTCGACTCCTAATATTCTGCTTAGCGCAAACCTTTAATATCTTACAAAACTTTGGGTTTTATAGAAGTTGTTTGACCTTGTTTTCGCAACTTTGTCATATTGGTAGGAAGACTTAGAGGAACGCTTCTTGTCCTGAGTCCATTGTATGCATAATAATTTCCAAAGTCGGACAGTGGACGTGGTACATTCACAGACGTTTCGCCGGCATCGTCAGTGAGTTTTACCATTCTTAGCACCATATTAAAACTCGTCAAAGAGACAAGTGAAGCCGATCCTTTGACCAAACGAGGCTTTATTGGCTCTACCCTGCGTCTGGGTGACTAATTCGAGGCTCAAGCCTCTGAGTAAGTGTCATCGGCACGCATTTGCCACATGGACCACGTCTCTTATAAAGCCTACTGTCAGCCCACTAA